GAGCGGGAAGAAAGTTTCTGTTACAAATGTTCTGTATTTTTGAAAATTAGACCTCTCAGAGTAATTTGTGACATAGTTTACTTGGCAGTGCCGGAAATGAACTTAAAAAAGAAAACCAGGAAAAATTGTTGGTTCGTTTAGACCCGTACCTTTCTTCTTCTGTGTCTCATACTAGATCCTTTCAAAGGAGTGGGAGAACCACTGTGACTGCCAGACCAGTTTTGTATTGCTAGTGAAATTGCTTCCTCCTGGCCTCTGTTATATAACTTCCAGAATTCTCATTCTTGGTCTTTCGTGCACTGTTGAGGTATGAATATAATTTCTTGTTTCTTCCCAAGATCTTGGTTCTGAATCCAATTGATTGACCGTACGCTTCCACAAGTATTCTGTTTATTTTAAGAGCTCTACTCAACATTATTTAAATATTTCAGAAGTGGACTCAGTGGCATCCTACACCAAGGAGTTTGATAGAGTTACAGTATTTACAGTTTTCTTCAGGTATTTCTTTCTATCTTGCACTTTGCACTTTTTTTTAACAACAATCTTCTTATTCTGTCATCAGGCAAAATAAATTAAAAATAGGAAAAAAAAAATCCCGGGGGTGGGGGGAAACAAACAGGGAATAAAAGCCTTTATTAATTATTGTCTGTCTTTGACCTAACCTGACTCATAGCAAGGTTATCCATCATGATGTGGGAAGGGAAAAGGCACATCTATTAACAGACAAGTTAAATAGGGGCAAGCTGCTATTTGCTCTGTTGCAGTTTAATAAGCCCAAAAGTAAAAGGTGGAAGACAGTGTGTTGCTTTTGCAACATTTTCCTGCTACTGAAAATTGAAAATATCAAAGAACCAGATCACAAAAATGTGTAGGAGTGGGCTGTGCTAGGAGTTGAGGCAGGGAGTAAAAAAAGCTAATCTTGTAGAAAAGGCATAAACTGGACTTTTATCTTCTGAGTACAGTGGCAGTAAGTTTTATGCATTCCAGCTAGAGTAGAGCATTTCAATGGAAAAAGGCAGTGGAGGATGCTGAGGCAGAAGTGGAAGGGGCCAAAAGCTAGCATACTGAATGGTGAAGTGCTTTACAAAAATAGTTCTGTACTAGATGTAGTAACTTTTAAATTAAAAGAAGATCTTATAAATTCCTTCCTGATGAGATAACATGGCAATGGTTGTAGTGTACAGATGGTGGAGTTTATTTACTAACTATATTTTTTACGTCGTTTGGCAGTAACATTTTAGTAGTACCTAAATATGCGTCTTAAGTGCCTTTCTCTAGGCATCTGTGCTGGAAAATTCAGGCCATGGTTGCTTTGAACTGCTTCAACTGCTATTTTCTTAAAAATGTTATAGTATGGCTGTAAAAATAAATACTCTATAGCAAAATCAAGGGGGACTGTGTTATCCTAATTTTTATTGCGATTTAGTTGGAAGGGGATGGATTTGAAGCATTCAGTGAAATCAGATCAAAGTTGGAAATAAATATATCAAAATAATATGAATTACTAGAAAACACTTCCTCTCTCTATGAAATTAGCTCGGATCAGAGATCACAAACATCATAAAAGGACAGCTGTTACATCCAGCTTTCTCAGGTACCCTGTTCTTAATGATTTTTTTGTCAATTCTAGAATAAACATTCTGCTACCTGAGGGTTATCCTCTGCCTTGCTGAATGTTTGTATGTAATCTCATGCCAAAATATTTCATGCTGTTTTGCCTCGTCTCATGTCTGTGCAGGACAGATTCTGATCTGTACAGCTAACGTGCAGAGTGGAGTTCTGCTCAAAGCACATCTTGGTGATAGGCACTAGATCATAATTCCACAGAGTGATAAATTGTAGGGTAGTTTCTCAGTGAAAGGACTAAACGCTGTTTACCGATTCGGTGTTCACTTTTGAACACTTTGCTGAATAGGGGCTTGAATCTAACATGCAGCCAACTGTTCTGCGGTGAGGTTTGTGAGTTACCCTTCATTGGTACCATCTTCATCAGAAGCAGTTTTGTCTTTGGAAGCAATGCTCCAAAAATAACAGTAGGCTCCCACTGCAAGGGAAGGCGCTGGAGCTGTGGTGGAGCTCCTGCCCCTTGTTGGCTTTGAACTGGGTTGGGATGTGTGCTTTCTTGCCTTCTGGAGTTTGTGTAAGGGCTCAGGGTTTCTTCCAGGTTCTTTCTGATGTGTGAAGGACGCGTGGTGGATGTGGGGCCAAGCACCCTTCAGGTTGTTGGGTGAAGCACTGCGTGTGCAGACAGCACTCGTCTGTTAGGGAGAGCTGCGGCTGCTGGCGATTTTTGTCACACTCTGATTGTTGGCTGTTTGACGCTTGGACGTACTCTTCCTTCTTCATACAGCACCCATGATCCTTCCTCTTTGTTGTTCCTTACTTTCCTCTTCCACTGGGAAAGTTGGGCATCTTCTACTTTCCTCTAGCAAAAAATAAACGCAAAACACACAGTTTGTGTATGCAGTCAATTCACCACTCGCTTTAATTAGCAAAAAGAAACCAGAATGCATTCATTTAAATACTTAATTTTCTAAATTCTGAAACTTTGTATGTAGTTATTTTTA